GTTCGTCCAATCACAATGCACTGGGTCAGCTGGCTAATCAGAGCAGACTGCGCTTGTCAAAAGGAGGGACTTTGTTGAAAACGAAGCGTTTGAGAGAGGCGGGGCATATACAGGAAAAATAATGTGTTTTTTGAACATTAAAGCATGTCAACATATTCTGTTACACCAAATACACAAAATAATGATCTTTAAAAAAGCATCATATGACCCCTTTAAATCTTTCACAGTTAAAGTAAATTAAGTATTTAAATGCATAACATTGGAAACTGTGCAATGTTTGTCAGCCAATAGTGATTCTGCTTGACTTCTTATACTTGCATCTGATATTATATAGTTCATAATCCGACACCAGTTAGCTTTAAAAAACTGACAGCAATCAGCAAACTTGAACTTAACCTCCAAGCTGTGTCACGGATGAGTGTAAAGAGCTCTGCTGATTATAATGGGGGTAATTTAGTGTTTGTTGTGTTGTGATGCACTGCTGACGTCCTGAACAGAGGTTATGTGACTGTAGGTCGTTTGTGGTTGCCGTCCAATGTTGCAACTTGCTTTATAAATACACATACTGGTAAAAAAAAATTATAGCCTGAATGCACTGTAAGTCGCTTGGGATAAAAGCATCTGCTAAATGCATACATTATTACATTATACACAATTCAACTCAGTGTGCTCATGTACCGTAGGTCCCACTTTAGTTTGGGGACCAATGCTCACTATTAACTTAACTATGACTTTTGCCTTAATAGTGCTGACGGAACAGAGTTTATGTGACTGTAGGTCGTTTGTGGTTGCCGTCCAATGTTGCAACTTGCTTTATAAATACACATACTGGTAAAAAAATGTATAGCCTGAATGCACTGTAAGTCGCTTGGGATAAAAGCGTCCGTCAAATGCATACATTATTACATTATACATTATACACAATTCAACTCAGTGTGCTCATGTACCGTAGGTCCCACTTTAGTTTGGGGACCAATGCTCACTATTAACTTAACTATGACTTTTGCCTTAATAAACTCTTAATTTGCTACTTATTAATTTGTAAGATAGTTGTTAAATTTAAGTATGGGGCAGGATTAAGAGATCTAAAATATGGTCATGCAGAATAAGGCATTAATATGTGCTTTATAAGTACTAATAAACAGCCAATATACTAGTAATATGCATGCTACTAAAGTGTTACCTATTTAATTTACTGGATGTCTTGCATCTTGAAAAACAGAAATTCTGCTGATGTGCAACAAAGGCCTAATATTATCTAGTTTGATTATGCTGAATACAAAAATATCAATAACAACTTTCCATCATGTAGAGTTTTTCACAAAATAAGAATGAACAGATTTTTAAATTACATTTATCAGCTTTAACGTAGTTCTCAAAATAACGAAAACCAACAAATGACAAAAATAAGTATTCAAATTATTCAACTTTTCAAAATAAGCTTTCGGTCCACAAAATTTGTAATTTTCTGTCATGTTGGATGCAGTAAAAACTTAAATTTAAGTATGGGGCAGGATTAAGAGATCTAAAATATGGTCATGCAGAATAAGGCATTAATATGTGCTTTATAAGTACTAATAAACAGCCAATATACTAGTAATATGCATGCTACTAAAGTGTTACCTATTTAATTTACTGGATGTCTTGCATCTTGAAAAACAGAAATTCTGCTGATGTGCAACAAAGGCCTAATATTATCTAGTTTGATTATGCTGAATACAAAAATATCAATAACAACTTTCCATCATGTAGAGTTTTTCACAAAATAAGAATGAACAGATTTTTAAATTACATTTATCAGCTTTAACGTAGTTCTCAAAATAACGAAAACCAACAAATGACAAAAATAAGTATTCAAATTATTCAACTTTTCAAAATAAGCTTTCGGTCCACAAAATTTGTAATTTTCTGTCATGTTGGATGCAGTAAAAACCAACAGATGTAGCAGAAAACATCTGGCTCATTTGTGCACTTTCTTCTGTCAATGGCCATAATTTTAACTTTGAAATCAGGATTAGGCATAGAATATTATATTATTTGGGCTGAGAATTGAACAAACAGTTGTATTCTGGCTCAGAGGAAGACAGGAACCATGTCTTTGAGGCAGTTTTTTCTGCTGATTAACAGAGAATACAAGACTTCACCTTACAAATGGTTGTCAAAAGAAAAATGCTACGAAATGCATCATATTTTGCTATTTTCATGCAAACTATTTTTGGATTTTGGAATTCGTTCAGCAAATATGATGCAGGTCGGTGTTATTTATTCCTGGATTATATACCATTAATATGGCATAAAAATGCTCCATCTATAAATGTTTTTTATATCAGTCAGTCACTTGCTGTCTAAAAGAGCAGTTTTTGGCCAGACTAAACTGCGATGCTAAGCAGACATTATGTGGGTAGTCTAGGGGTTGAACGACTTCTGATTTTTTTGAAGTCGACTTTTATGTGATGAAAGTCGAGTCGAAGTCGACTAGTCGCTGATGACGTCATTAATGAACAAATAAGTCTGGAGCTGAGACAAACACTTTGTGCACAGCTATGGCATATGACACAGCGCTGCCCACATGGCTGTTGCTCCTATAACAGCT